GTTTTACAGAATGAAATGTCTGAATGAGTGCTCATCCAAGACTGGTGATTCCATACTTTTTGCCAGCGGTTGTATTAGCTCAAAATGTTGTCTTCAAGTCTGGCATCTTTTAAGTTTTATCACTTGCATAAAACACTAAAAACACAAAAGTTTTTAGATTCTCAGTATTGTCTGTCATTCAGTGTTTAAACATATTTAAGATCTTATTTATAGTTCTAGAACAACAACTGTGTTCGAAGTTTAATTTTCTGTTTTTTTAACTATGCTTCTCATTCACGTGGCTGTCAGGGAGTGAGAGACACGAGTGTACAGTTACCATGCTGATTCTAGTAAGCAATGGTGGGCTCAGTTCCACTAAAGCACTAATAGCGGAAGTAATTTCCAGATTAGGGCTTTAGGGCTTTTGCTGATTTTAAAAATTTCTTAGTGGATTAGCTAAAGGTTATTGATCAACATTAATGTTAACAGCTGAGGGTGAAAACTGGCACACATTTTGTTMTTATGTGTATCACTTATAGTAGGTGACAATATATGAACACAAATACAGCTGTGGAATGTCAATGATAAGTCTTAAGAGAGCAGCATGACAACATGTGACTCATGTTGTCTGTTGAAAAATGTTCATGGGTTGATTGGGTTATTTTAGTGCTTTRGAATTAGCTTTTTGCTAAAACTTTCAGTGCGTTAGTGCTTTAGAATTAGGGGACCTAAATATCTGAGTTAGTGTTTTAGGGCTAGTTGAACTAATTTTTAGATTAGTGCTGCCCACCACTGCTAGTGAGGCCCAACCAGCAACTGTAATGTTTCCTTTGTGGTCTTGCTTCATTTACATTTATTATAGACTTTATATTTTGAAATCATGTTTTTCCTAAATAATTTTAAAAAATGTGCATTTTTTTGGAAATTTTCCCTTTTTTTGATGTTGTTTTTGTTTGATTCCATATATTTGAAGTAACTTGACCTTCGACTAAACTGAGTACAGGTCAACAGGAGGAACACACACAGGGTGAATACAGTGAAGAGGAGTTGGCACCAAACATAAAATGAAGGCCTAAAAAAAGAAACAGCTGAGTGACTCAGGGGAACAGTGAAAACGGATTCTACCACCATGGCCTGTAATTGCCCACTGGGGAGCTCCAAGGTCAAACCCAGTGTGAATAGAAACATATTTTGCTTTTGCCAAAAGCTCAAGGCTGCTTGTTCACAGCCCCATTCACCACAGTGCAAACAAAAAACAAAACAAAAAAATAAAAAAATAAAACTGTGCTTTTAGAAAAGGACTTGAATGAGCCTTGAAAAGGTGGCGAGGGTTCATAACTTTCATTTGACTGGAACTAAAAGGCTTCGGTGTAAACGTTCTGCGCGTCGTTTTTCTTGGTTCACAAACACTAAAACGGCTCCCATTTTACTTTCCTAACGGGAAGATTTCAGCAGAATTACCCTGATTGTATCGAGGCTCGCACGAGACAGTCGGTTCACTTCAATGCAGAAAAGATCATTTAGACTGTGAAGAGGAATCTGTCACCCGGATCCTGGTCTGGGATCAGTGCTGTGGCTCCTCTCACAATGTAGGTAGACAGAAACGGGATGGAGACCTGCACAAAAAGACAAAAATTTATTCTAACAACCAGGGCTACC